ACCTTGGCGTGGTTGCTGAACACGGCCCAGTGCAGCGCCGTGCGGCCCAGCTTGCCGCTCGCCTCCGTGTCGGCGCCCGCCTGCGCCAAGCAGTCCACGGTAGTCATCGCGACCGCGCTTCAACGAGCTTCAAGGACATGACGGTACTCACAAGGGAATGCCGCGGTGTGACAGGTCGAAACATGCCCTCATATTTTTTTCGTTGAATTTACCATGCCATTCTGACACCACTATGAACGTTTTCGATGCCGATGCACACTGCCAAATACTCTAAAAATTTCGAAATTTGCCAACATTCTCGTGCTATTTTTCGTTTCTCCGGAGAACTTGGACAGCCATCGCAAGCCGAGCGGCGAGCGCGCGGGCGCCGTGGTTGGCGTTGTAGAGGGTTGTTTTCTCAAGGACAAATGACATTCGGTGGGAGCAGGCCATTCCCAGTGCAGTCAATGCTTTTATCATTGTAAAAGTCCATTTTATTTGAGATTTTTTATTTTCTTGCCAATGAAATTTACATTTTTCATTATGAATAACCTCAATATGCATAACTATTAAATATTGAAAACGTTTATCATATAACTACTGTATCACTTTATATTTAAATTATGTAAAGATGAGGTTTAAGAGTGGTTTTGTGAATCAAATTCACATGTCATGGCCTAATTTTGGTTTTTAGTTCGCGAAAATTGTAGTTTTCACCGATCTTTCGCGTGTGATTACACAACTGTTTCGCAGTACACAAGGACAAGAGCTCGCAAATTCGCTCCAGGGCAGGTAGTACATGTTGAATGGGAAGATAAGCGGTTGCGACTAGGTTTATCACGACGAAATGTATTTCTTACGATAATGAACAACTGATAAAACAAATTCGAAGAACTTGTATTAGTAGTTTAGATTATGAATAGTTAATATTAGTGTTATTAGTTTTATTATTTTTGCTGCTAGGAGGGGTATCTGGTTCTCTCCGCCTGACCCTCGCAGGAAACGACCTTGGAAACAGAGTCTGTCGCTTGCGGCGTGCAGTGGTGTTGAATCACAAGCGAGCGCGCTGGGTAACACCCACTTTGCAGGGTCGACTATTTTTACACCGGTGAAAGCATAGGGCCAATTTGCAAATTCAGGATGTTTTTAATTGACTTGCAGTGTGTATAGGCACCCAGAAGTTCGATCGTGAGATTAATACGGCATGTGCTTTCGATGAAAAGATGGATTAGGACAGGTTTCGACATGTCACATCGCAGCGACATGTCCATGTCATATCGTTCCCTTGTCAGAGAACACTAATGGTTGTGGGGGAAAGGGGAAGGTCAACGCTGGCTTGCAGAGTAAATTGAGATGCTCAGAATTATAACGGCAGATCCCAACTGAAGTTCGTTTTGAGAAAAAATAATTTTAATTTTTACCGATACGTTTTTGCTTGTTATTGACTTCGACACGGAGTTCGATTTAAGCTGCATAACTTACGTTTATGGAAAGGATCCTCGTTATGAGGTAAACTGGAAAACAGTGGACTGATGCTACATATTTTATTATGGAGGGAATTGTGGGAGGACAATATAAAAAGGCAAACCGAGACAACATCTAGTTATTCAGTAAATACGTAAATCTAAATCAATAAATTTAGGTACAAAATAAAATTATTGATGTACCACGGGCGTTAACGTTCTAATGATCTCGGGTGACAAATCACCCTCGGGCCAAAACTCTTAGATATTTTGTCGCCGCTCCATCGTTAGAACGCCCTTATGACACCCTTATGACGCCCTTGGTGCATAAATAACTATTTCTCTTTTATCCCAATTCTGGGTTTTGTTTTATCCCAATTCATTTGATATTTCAGTATTTGATAGCTATATGACAGGAGTTTACCGTCATACTTTTAACTGAAAATGCGAGCTACATTGGGATCTGCGGTTATTATCCTGAACCTCTCAAGTGTGTGCTTCTCCTGAGCCTCTCAAGCCGTCTCAGTGAATGGGTCAGCGTATTAATGCTCTAAGCCACATTTTAAGAAAACTGAGAAACATCACGTTATAGTTACATAGTTGTGATTATGAAGCGTTGTGGAGAGAAACTAGTGTTGATAAAGAATTGCACCATTTTTCCCATATTCGTATTTATTTACTTTGGTCTCGGCTAGCTATTTGGACTAACTACATACTCTTGCCAGCTGCTATTTATCGCCGCCCAAAGTACAAATTTTTTACATTTTCTTAATTTTTCGGTTTTCTAATTGTAGATCGGAAATATTATTTTAAGAATATTAACGAACAATAAAGCCTCGTCCTAACTGGAAATTTCATTTAAAATTTTGGAGCTGTTTTTACGAAAATGGTGTTCGGGCGCCACTGTAAATTCAAAATTTAACCTCTTTTCATAGAAAACTATTTAGTTTTCGAAAAAAAATCATTTGAATTCATTTCAAGGCCTTGTAATCACAAATGAAATAGTGTTTACAAAACATTGTAAATGTTCATATTAACGGCGTGAGAGAGTTTTCAAAAAAGTTACATTTCTGTAATATTTGAATAAACAAAAAAAATAATCAAATTGAACTCTATGCTATATGAAAGAGTGCAATAAGCACTATTCGTTCAAAAAGTTTTTAAAAAAGTTGGAGCCGTTTATGACAAAATGGCGTTTGAGTTTTTCTGAAACCGCGGAATTTTACTCAATTTTCACAGAAAACGGTCGAGTATTCGAGAAACTGTATCTGAGATTACACTGTATTTAAAGCACATGTACTCATAAATAAAACAATGTGAACAAATCTCCACTATTGTAAATATAAATGACGTGACAGGCTAGTCAAATGTTACATTTTTGTAATTTTTCAAAAAAACAAACAAACGAAAACAGCAATGTCCATTAACTGTGCCCTTGCATATACTCATTAAAAGCGATATATCAAATACACTAGGTCTTCACAAGCGCAGCGGAGCCACGTGTATGCGTGGTCTAATTATTTGAAAAAACAAAAGAAAGCAGCAATGGTCATTAACTGTTCCCTTACATATGCTCACAAACAAAAAAATACTCAAATACTCTAGGCCCTTGCGGTCAGAAGCGCAGCCGAGCCACCTGCGTGTGTGTGTGGGGGGGGGGCGATCTACCACGAAAGTAACTAAATAACTCGGCCACCCTCATCTGCCATGAAGCAAACGTGAGGCATCCACCTCGCCTCCCACGAAAAACTGGCAAATATCCTCCCCACCTGCCACGAAGCAACCAGCCTAACCTTCTACGAATCATTCTAAAACCCCATCCACTCCACTTGGCACGAAGCAACTGGCAACACATCCACCCTCGCCTTCACGAAGCAACTGCCACCAATGCACTCCATCTCACCACAAGAAATTAATATACTCGCCACTCTCACTTCCATTAAGCCAACTGGAGGCCACTCCACCTCGCCTCCCACGAATTTAAACTGCCAAAATTATCCTCCCCACCTGCCAAGCCGAAGCAACCCAGCCTACCTTGTACGAATCATCTAGAAAAACCAAACCACTCCACTTGGCACAAGCGAACTCAAACACATCCACCTCCCTGTCACAAGCAACTGCCACCAATCCACTCCACTCTACACGAAATTGTATACAATAACTCGGCCACCTCACTTGCCAGAAGCAACTGGAGCCACTCCACTTCGCCTCCACAATAAACTGCAAAATTATCCTTCCTCCACCTGCCACGAAGCAACCAGTCCCCTCACCTTCTTAACGAATCCAACTACAAACCCATCCACTCCACTTTGCCACGAAGCAACTGGCACACACATCCAACCTCGCCTGATCACGATAGCAACGGCCACCAATCCACCCATCTACCACTAAGAAACTAATAACTCGACCAACACTCTCATCTTGCCATACAGCAACTGTGGGACGGCTCATCCACTCGCCTTCCCCACGAATAACTGGCAAATTTAGCCTCCCCACCTCACGAAGCAACCAGTGCCTACCTTGTACGAATCATCTAGAAACCCAACCACGTCACTTCCGAACAACTGCCACACATCCACCTCGCCCTGTCACGAAGCCAATACTTGCGCCACCAATCCACTCCATCTACACCGAAGTAACTAATAAACTCGGCCACCTCACTTGCCATGAACATAACTGGAGGCCATCCACTCGCCTCCCACCGAATAAAAACTTGCAAATATTTCCTCCCCCACCTCCACGAATGCAACCAGCCTACCTTCACGAAATCATTCTAGAAAACCCCATTCCTACTCCACTGGCACAAGCAAACTGCAACACACCACTCGCCTGTCCACGAAGCAACTGGCCACCAATTCCACTCCCATCTACACGAAAGAAACTAATAACTCGGCCACATCTCCACTCCATTGAAGCAACGGGAGGCCATCCACCTCTCATCTCCCACGAATAATGAAACGGCAAATTATCTCCCCACCTGCCACGAAACGCAACCAGCCTACCTTCTACGGAATCATCTAGAAACCCATCCACTCCCCACTTCACGAAGCAATTCGCCACCAATCCACTCCATCGCATCGAAGCAACTAATAACTCGGCCTACCTCACCTGCCATTAAGTAACTGGACCATTCAACCCACGCCCTCCTACGAAAGCACCACTGGCAAATTCATCTCTTCTCACCTGCCACGAAGCACACCAGGCCATACCCTTCTTACGACATCACAATAGGTAAAACCCAATCCACCCCAAAGCAACTGGCAACACGTTTCCCATACTGACCTACACGAAAGCATACAAGTTAACTCACGCCACTTACCCCACCACCCCGAAGAATAGTAGCCACAACTATCCACCGCCCATCTCCCACGAATAACTGGACCAATCCATTAACCACATCCCGCCCACAAGTAATGGCTAACCCCATTAAACCACACTCCTACCAAAAGTAACTTGCCAATCAGTCCACCCCTCCACGAAGTCAACTGACAACCCAACTCCCACAAACAACAAGGAAACCTGTCCATCCTACCTGCATAAAGCCATCTGAGACCACCATTAAACCTCATCTGCGCCGAAGTCAACTGGCAACTCATCTTTACGCACCTGCCACCAAGCAACTGAAACCTCATCACCCAGTTCTGCCATAAATAACTGCAACCCAATCCACGCTCACAGCACACGAGCAACTAGCCATCCCATCCACCTACCTCTACCATTGAAGCTTTTGGTTACCCATAACCCCAGCCTCCTACGAAGCAACTGATAGCACATCCCAACCCTCCCTGCCAACGAACTTCAATTGGCAACCCATCATCTCACCTGCCACGAAGCAACGCGCAGCACTATCCATTCCCCTGCCCACAAAACATCTGCGAACACATTCACCCACTGCAGAAAAATACTGGTAATACATCCATCCTTCCTGCCACGAACACAAACACTAGCAACCATCCACCCCACCGAATCCCATATGCCATACGGTAGTTCTCTGTTTCTCCACTCTCATAGGGATATAACCGAATAAAGGCAGTACAGGATAAAGAAAGCTGGCTATTTTTAAGGTAAGAGCCACCTGCTCGGCCCGCTGTTCTGCAGCATGAGCTCCATGGCCTTACTCTGGCCGTCTGACTCCGCACGCTGCAGCGCCCGTGCGTCCGTTCCTGGCCACGGCGCGGACTCCGCCCCGCGCTCCATAACAGCTTCACCACCGCGCGTCGCCCTTCTCACCCCCGCCAGCGTTGCACGGTGTCTCCCCCTGCGCGCGCACACACACAAATCCCCTCTTAACCTTCCGCCCGCCTGAGGTGTAGACAAGTTACTCTAAGAAAGGACCACTTTGGACAGATAGCAACACGAATTGAACGTTCATACTGGGTGATTGCAACGTCTGCAAGTAGATGCTGATGAAGCATTTACAAACTGGGTAAATGTAAATGAACGCACTCGACATTAACGTGCAATTGTTTGCCAAAGAGTAGCTGTTCCAAAAGCGCGGGGCCCCCTTTATAGAAATCTATATATATTCTCCGATTAAAAGACGGCCAGTCGCACTTCAAGATCGCGATACTGCAGGAGAGAGAGAGAAGGATAGAGATGGAAGAGAGGGGAGGGAGAGAGAGAGGAGAGAGAGAGAGAATTATCATACAATCAGGACTCAGTATCAAAAATTAATATAAACTACGCTCTGCAAATTGAATGACCCAGCCCCTCTCCTTACAATTCGTGACTTTGCAGGGAAACTACCGTGTAAAATCGAATATAGCCTCAGCGCCATTTGCCGTTGTCACTCGTTGCGATTCACTGTAGAAGGTTGGGGGTGTGGCGGGGAGTGTTGAGAGTGAATGCGATGATTTAGTCGTGTGATATGATGGGCGGGTGATGAAAGGGAGAAGGGGATGATGGAGATGTGTGAAAGTGGTGGAAGTGTGTGGACGCGGTTTATGGCATGGTGTGTGTTATAGTAGTAAGTGATGGTGGGCGTTGTATTGTCTCTGTGTGGGTTGGGAGAGTTGGCTGAAGGTGGAAATTGGGGGCGATTGAGGAGGAGAGTGGCTGGCATGTGCTCGAGGCAGTGTGAGTAGTGGGATGGAGTTAGCGATTGGGTGGATATGAGGGTAGATGTATGAGGGGGTTGGTGGTTGATTTGAGAGTGAGGTTTTGTTTGGGTAGACGGTCTTATAGGGCTGTGACAGTGGATGTGTTTAGTAGAGAATGGAGGTTGAGTGGATGATAGGGAGAAGGTCGAACGTGGGAGTAGGGTGTGGGAGGGTGGGGTAAAGTGGGGCTGAGTCGTGGGATGATGGTTTAGCGGTGACCAGGTCTGAGAGCGAGTAGTTTGTGTTGTGGGTGTCGCGGTGAGTGGTGAGCAGTGAAGTGAAATATCAGTCGCTTGTGAATGTGGAGGTGGTGAATGGGTTATTGGCGTGACGATGAATGGTGATTGGAGTTGGTGTGAGTCGCGTGGGATGTGATGAGCATGCTGGGTAGGAGCAAAGCGTGTTGGTGTGTGGGGTGGGACAGGTTGCCGAGTGGTGGATGATGAGATGTGTAGTGAGGCTATATGGAGACGACTGGTGTGTTGTTGTGGGGTGCGGCGGGGTTTGTGATAGAGTAAGTGAATCATGGCAGTCGGGGAAGTAGGATGATGGGGTGTATGTTGGCGTCGAATATGGAAGTGGGGTGTGTGAATGTGGGGAATTGACGTTGGCGCGGTAATCAGTATGGGTAGTGGTGTGGGAAGGATGAGAGCGTGTGGTTTTTGGTGTGGAAGTGCGGAGCTAAAGTGGGTTAGTATATGGATTGCACTGGGTGTGCGGTGGGGAGAGCGGTGGTGTGTGGGATGGGAAGTGAACGATGGTTAGTGTGATGATGGTATTGGGGTAAACTGAGAGCGTGTGTGGAGAAGGGTGGCGCGATCATAGGTGGTCGTCTATGGATAACTTGGCGGGAGCGTATGAACCGAAACGTGTGTGTGTGGGTGTAGGGTGCTGGTTCGGGGGTTAGGTACTGCGGGTGCCACGCGCGTCGCACGCCCTCGTCCAGCACAGGCCGCAGCCCGGCGCCGCCCTCGCGCCGCCGCCAGTCAGCGCCG